CTTTTCATTTAAGAGTAATAAATGCTCAAAGTTGCCTCCTAAAACGTTCCATCTCACCCCACCCACGGGGTGAGTTGGAACAGGCAGTGGGGTGAGTTGGAACAAGAGGGCGAGTTGGAACGCTTGCATATAAATTCAAAGTATAATTCATTTTAAGAGTAGGATTATCTATATTAATTTCCCAACAAGTACATGTTACTTTGTATTAGTATCTCCATAGTTTGTAAGCATTTTTTACGTTTACAATTTGTTTTCAAATAGTCTTTTCGATGTATAAACCATATCCAGTTACACTTCATTTCATAATGATAACAAAAGTGGTGTAGTTTAAGAGAAAATAAGTTGAATTCACATAACTCAACCTATCAACAACAGTATGTTAGACCTACAAATAAAAACTAGCTGTATCTCTTTCAACTAAACCTCAGAATCAAAATTGCAGTTCTGACATATGTACACTTGGTCACCTTAGTACAGTCTTCATGTGACCACTTCAGACAAACAATGCATTGTACCCATTTCTCTCTTTTGGCCAGCTGTTACTGAACGGCTCCCAACAAACCAGGCATTGCCACTCTTCTTCTGACTCAGAATAGCTAGTCATCTTTAATATCCTTTTTCTTAATTTTCTCTGTCGACTAGAAATCTTTAACTTTTTTATTTTTGTTGCGCTTGTCCTTTTCAATTTTGTTGGGCTTGGCCTTTTCTTTTTCGAGTAGCTCTTTTTCAGGTGTGTCAGTAAGAACTGCACTGCATCGTTTTCTTCTTTTAATGATTGGACTGCCACGTTGAGCCTTTGGAAGCGGTCTGGTATTGCTGGACTTGAGCTGTTTTGGGGTTTTCTTAAGTGCGCTATAGTGTGCTGTAGCACCTCTTCCGATGAGGGCAAATGAGATTTCAACTGGATTTTTGCTTAAGTTACGAGGTGAATGTTTGTCTTTTCTGACGGATTCTGTACCCTCGTTCACTAACCATTAACAGCAACCCCCAATCCATTACACAAAGCATTTAAAACAATATCGACAGGATTGGTGTTGTATAGTTTATCCATAACGTAGGCTCTCTTGTCAGCTAGAATATATATATATATATATATATATATATATATATATTTTTTTTTTTTTTGCCGCAAAAACAGTAATAATCGACATTTCCTTCCACTTCTAAAAGCAATTTATCGCAAAGAGCAACAGTGGACATGCAAACCCCTTTTCGACCAAACAGATAGCAACTGCATTTAACAAGCAGTGACCATCCCCCCTCCCCCCTTGTATTTTCTACACGCATGTACATTCTGGCACCTTGGAGATGTTCTTTCAGCTGGATTTTGTCTCCAGTTGGAGTTGTACTGGGTGCGTCGCTATTTAGAGAGATAAAAAATTGAAAAACACCGTGCGGGGTAGGTTGGAACACCCCTGACAGTGTTCCAACTGACCCCATGTCAAATGTTCCGACCAGCCCCCACGACGTCATGGCCTACTTATGACACTGTATTTCTTTAACACGTGTGAGGTGATTAAAAGAAACTACAGCTTTTTGAACATCAAGGTGGTCCTAAACGCTGTGCACATTTTCAGTGATATAATCCTTATACTTAAGTTTACAGCACGATGAATGTCAAAAATATGAAAACTTACTTCGAGTGGCAAAAATACGTTTTTTTCGCATAAAACTTTTACCGCATTTTCGATACTTCCAAAAGTTTCCCGGATTAAAGACCATGCCATGTGACATTTTTATGGTGAAGGAGCACATGATCGGTCTCGTGATTTAAGAAATAAAGCCAATGTTCCAACTTACCCGCGTTCCAACCCACCCCGCTCTCCCCTACCTACACAAATCTTAAAAGNTATAACCCTGTTTTTCAGATTAATTTTTGGTTGATTAACCCCCCAAATTGTGACTGCCCATATCTCTGTAGGTAGGGATTTTTTTCAGGAAATATTGCAGCCTCAGATATTGTTCATATAAAAGTTCAAACACACCAAATATGGTGTAAATCCGTTCACCCCCGCCTTGCCGCATTTTCTACATTTGGTCTGGTTTTCTCGTGGACACACACTTAAATGATAAAGTTTTATATAAACTTCATTCTAAACTGTATTCTATTCTTCACTTCACCATTGTACAACTTTTATTACATATTGTTTTAAATTCCTGTCTTAAAAATTTCCCTTGACTAAAATTCGGTAACTTAAGATGAACCGTTCGTTACCCCGACAACTGAAGTTTCCTTCACGCCATGCAGCTACGCCATCTATGACGTCACATGTTCTATTGGAATATCCCACTTGTAGGTATCCTGAACGGCAGATGGCAGCACAAGTGGCCCCTTCATGATTCTGACAGTCTATGTAAACTATACCAGATTCCTTGGTCTCGTCTGCTAATGGGCATCTTGGTACTGTGCGATGAAACGTTAAGTTTAATAGTAGCCTCAACATTATTTATCGAAAATATAACATTTGCTGTAAGTAATTTTTTTTTCTAAAAATAATGCTCAAATAGTAGAAAAAATAGACATTTTCCCCCGCCTCTGGTCAGTTTTGTTTGAAATATGTAATATTTTACGGATAAACAGTATATAAGAATACATTAGAATGTTTGTTTAAATTATCAATTTAAAAAAATTACTGCGCGACACATTTCTTTTTATATTCCTATTTATGTACATTTATGTATAAGCAACAGACAATGTCCGATGAAGTTATTACTCTGATAACAACCTTGATATTTATCCTTTCAGAAAAACAACATTTTACAAAATTAAACAATTATCCCTTCATCGAAATAAAAATGCAAGCGCCCCGTGCTCGTCATTATTCTCACCTATGACCTGGATGTGAAATGTACATGTCCCGCTGTCACCATCACGGTGTCCCGTGGCAACGATGGTGTGAGTTCCTTCAGTGAACGTCCCTGGGTTGCTATGGGAATACGTGAAATCTACGGTGCCGTTTTTGCCATCGAGGACCGTCGGTTCGTCCCAAGATATTGTTGCAGAGAGGTTGCCTCCCGTTGTTTTGACCGTTATGTCATCCGGGCAGTCTAACAAAGGGGCTGCGTTCACTGAAAAAGACATGTTTTGATATTAAAATGATTGCATGCATAGCGGGGACTGGAAAATCATGACATTTCCTTTATAAAACCACGGAAGTTTATCATATGGATAGGATAAACTTCCACGATTAAACGTACTGGGCATTCCAATATGTGTTTTATAATATCATTACCAAGTGCAGATATAGATATATTTTTCTTGAGGTCTTCCAAATTATCTTTCATGATCCATCCTCCATTTTTGAACGTCTTTCGATAGAAAAAAATTAGATACCCGTCGATGTAAACTTGATTATCTGTCTTCGGAAAGACAAGGAAGACGGCCTCAATCCGCCCCTCATTACAATAAACCATAACCAATTGTGTTTTACGTGAAGTATAATAGTTTCGCCAGACACTGTGTATTACATTGGGAACGAACACAAGAACCAGCTTTTTTCCACCTGCCCAAAGATCAATTACGTAACATACCTGAGCATCTTGCCGCGACACCCGACCAGTGGCCTCCTGTGAGACAAGTTCTCTCCGAGTTCCCCTCCACCCGGTAACCCTCTAGACAGGAGATGGTACATACGCTACCCGGCACCACGCCGTCCGCAGACTTACAAGGGCCTGGGATTACGGTGCCATTGCTTGGCGGGGATAAGCCTGGGCACCTCTTCACTGGAACGGGAATTTTTATAGAACTGGTAATATCAATATGTGGATGGAATGGGAACACTGATATTTAGCACTTTTATTTCGAGTCTCATTCGGTGAATTTACGAAATAGCAATGTTTGAACTTTGAACAACACGTAATGCGTATCACTACTGCATTTAGTGATTTGGCTATTCGAGTAAAATTTAACAACACATTCCACATACGCACGCGCGCGCGCGCACACACACACAAACACAAATACTTTCATGAATACATGACGTACAAAGAGTCGTTGATAGGATGGGATAATTTTCCAAACAAGAGAGCGGTGTCGTCATTCCTGTCGCCTTGTTCAATGAACCTAGTAATGGACACCAACCAAAAAATCGCTTCCGTGCATCCAGAGTTACGTACATGAATGACGTCTGGGTGGTGTTAAAAAACAGGGCCCAGTTTTATAAAAGACGTTTAGCACTAACCAGTGTTTAACTCTAACCAGTGGATGAATTCTCCTAAACCCCGTTAACTAAACGATGGATGAAATTGTGTTTTATAAACAGAGTTTAAACAGTCCGTTAGTTAACTACCTTTAAATAATTATTTTATCCGGTTTAACACTAGCCAGTTAACTAATTGGCTGTTTGAACACTGTATATGAAACACGTTTTAACCATCTTTTAGTTAATGGGTTTTAGGAGAATTTATCCACTGGTTAGGCTTATCCACTGGTTAGTGCTAAACGTCCTTTATAAAACTGGGCCCAGGACTTTTCCTGCACGGTGGGTATTATAACACAACTTATTACCTGTACAATTAACAGGCTCCCCCGACCACACCCCTTGTTCTGTGCATGTTCTAGTGGCGTTCCCCGACTCGAGCTCGTACCCATCAGCGCATTTCTGTTGACATACATCTCCGTAGTTGTAAGGCTGTCTGCAGGTGGATTTTGTGGTGTGGGGGCGGACTGGGAGTTCGGAGCATTGAACAACTGGAAATTGTACGCATGTAATACCGTCAATGTTAATAAGGCAAAGGTACACTCAGCAGATAGCTGAGGTGAGTTTGAGAAAGTTCAGAGGATTTCACCTTTTGGAATTGAACACATGTAATACCGTTAAGGGTCAATAGAGTCAGACAGAAATTGAATTTTGTGAAAAGAAATTAGGAAGGCAAGAAAGAAAAATGTTTGTATAAATACTTCATTCAATATTGCTAAATAGTTTTTTGTTACTAAAAATCTCAGTGTAAGCTCGATGGAAATTCTTTTTACAATAGAGTCAGACAGAAATTGAATTTAAATTGCGCCACCGGGTTTGATCAAGTCATTTCCTCCTCTCGTATCAAAAACAGCTGTCTTTAAAGCATAAACTTACTGTTGCAGGCTCCAGTTATCGGTCCCCAGTTAGTATCGGTGGTGGCATTATGCGCCTCACAAATGACGTACTCGTTTCCAGCCAGTGTGTAGCCAGTGGCGCACCCTATCGTACAGACGGCGCCCCAGTGTGATCTACATTCGTCTTTGACGTGCGCATGCCTCGGAAGTGTCAGGTTTGGGCATCTCTTAACTACAAACATTTTGAAGAAAATATGTTCATAGTGCTCATGTTTCGGTACACAATATTAAAGGGATAACTCTTCGTATGAGATCTATATTTCACAATAAAAACATTGTGAATAACTCAAAGAAATGTAATATATTCTGTTTTACAATAACGACAGTTTAAGCTATTTTAAATCTGATATCTGATATTATCTTTGGACCACGTGACCTCCATTGATGGCTATACTCTGTTAAAATCTCTTAAGAGATTAAGAGATTTTAACAAAAAACCAAACTTTTAAGAAAAAAAAACAGGAACTAACTTTGAATGTAAAAATGGATTCATTAACCATTGGTAAGTATGGGAAAATTGTTGTTTACTCCAGTAAAATTAATTTTTTGGCCAAAACGAAGAGTTATCATTCCTTTAAAAATGATACTTAGAAAAAAGTCTTTTTTATTTCATAACTGTAACAATATTTACATCTACTCGTACATACTTTAACTGAATCATTATCAGCAATCATCAACAATATCACTTCACACTAACTTATTTAAGAATATCAAAGACACCAACAGGCAGAACGTATAATACAGTCTACCATTCCATAAAGTTAACGTTATTTTTAATTGCACGTCAACTGATATCGCTCTAGCTTTCTGTAACCTGTACCGGTACATTAATGCCCGGTATATCTACATTGATTGTTAATTCGACACAAAATCAACAGATGAATCCACAATTCGAAATTACCTTGAACTTCGACTGTGAAACTGCACGTGGCAATATTACCAGCCTTATCCGTCGCGTTCACGTACACGTGCGTTACCCCTTCCCCAAAGGTTGCCGGGGAACGAAGACTTTGTGAAATTTGCACTGCGCCCGGCAAGTTATCTGAAGCCTGCGGGTCGGCCCACGAGGCAGTGGCGGATGTATGTCCCCTAGCAGCTGTGACTACAATGCTTTGTGGGCACGTCAGAGTCGGTGGTATGCCATCTAAAAATGGATAACAACGCAAGGAATGAAGTAATAACCTAATGCATGTAGTATTGTTTAGCAATAAATTAGCAATACAATACAATATCAGTATACTCTACAATCCACACTTTACTTACCCACGCATTCCAACCCTGTCATGTCACTCCAAATGCCATCTTTCTGACAGCGGTGCGTTTCACTTCCTTGTAAAATGTAACCCTGCTGACACGTGGTATTGCACGTGGTCTGTTGCGGATGTGACGTCAAGGAACAGGTGGCGGGATATACAGTTGCAAATGGTGGAGGTAGAAGGGGAGCGCAGGATTTGGCTAAAAGGACACATAGGGTTGCAGCAGTTACATATCGAAATACCGGGGGTAAGTTGTTCGACATATTAATCGTGCGGTTAAAATTTATCAAGTGGGAGAGAGATCGTCCCCCTTTCCAAATAAAACGTGTTTATCCAAACGTGCTTGTATTTTTATCTATCACTAATCCCAACTTATACGATCACACGCAACATCCCAGGGGAAGAAAAGTGGAATAACGGGAAAATGTAAACTTCATTTCCCATAAAACATTTTCTCAAATACATTTAATTGTACCTCAAATATGTATTTGGGTTAGGAGTGGTCGAGAAGGACGACCGTTTTTACCCCTTTCTTGATATTGAACGGATTACCCTTTGCTTTATACATACTTATGTTAATGACAAAAACACGTACTTACTTTTACACACAATACCAACATCCTGATCATGCGTACAAGGAGTACCACCCCAGCCATCGTGCGGGCATTGGTCAATAGCCGTTTCCGTCCCATTACACTGGACATTGGACAACCAGATGTCGCCACTGCCTTGCCCGTGACAGTCTCCAGAGCTGGCATTACAAGCACTGACAGCACCACTTAATTGAAAGGACAGAATGCAAGTGATATGACACAAGGCAGAATCAACATGACCTGCTAGGAACCAAGTCTTATATCTGATATATGTGTACGTGCCAGTTTGTTTACAGGGTTACCACATAATATGGAATAATATTTTTTGTCGAGAAAATGTTCTACAAAATATTTCATTTCTCTCCAACTATTTTAAATCCAAAACTGAGGTGTCACTTTATGTGTAGCCAGGTGTGTTACCTAATTACCATGCAACTTTCGAAACAATTAATGTAAGCAGTTGCATGTTCTGTGGTTAGAAATGGGAGGGGTGGTCTTTTCGGCAATTTCTGCCCTTGTATAAAAACGCATGGGTTTGGTCAATCTTTGGAGTGTATTCAGAGAAGCAACAAAGGGATCGCTCTGAAACTTGTCAGTTACCTTAGAGAAGATATGGTTTGACAGCTAAGCAACGCAGCTTACTGTGGGATTCTTGCTCTCAGAGAAAATGGCTAGAAACGGACAGCCATTGCCAGACAATTCAACATTTTTCAGGAACCGTTAGTAAAGTCCTCCAAACAAATGCTACACTAGGGGCACCTACTCCAATACTTCCATCAGGGTGTCCCCGTACCACACCAAGTAGACAGGATCGCCTTCTCCTTAGAGTGCGCCGTGCTGGTCGTACAAAGACAACGAGTGTCCTCAAAAAAGAGTGGCAGAATGCCTTTCAAACGCCCGTTTCAAGGTCCCTTGTGAACAAGAGATTACAGCAAACTGGTTATTTTGCACAAACACCAGTACGGAAACCTCTATTAACAGCAGGTCATATACAGCGACGTCTGCAATGGGCTGGGGGCCACGTGCGTTTGCAGCCAAAACACTGGAATCACGTCGTTTTCAGTGATGAGGCCAGATATGGAATTTTGGGGGGTTGACTGTCGAATCCGTGTCCGCCGACGTGTACGAGAGGCATAAAACGATGATTGTGTACTACCTAGAGTGCAAGCAGGGGGTGGTAACGTCTCTGTTTGGGGAGCATTCCATGCCGGTGCCCAGAACCAGTTGGTTTTTCTAGGAGGCAACCTCAACCAGGGTTCCTACAAAGACATTCTACAGCAAACAATGCTTCGATTTGAAAGAGTCATCTTCAGGAACAACTTTGTGTACCAAGACGACTGCACAACCCCACATCGAGCTCGCAGAATCACTGTTTTTCTTCAAAACCAATGGGTTCAGCAACTGCTCTGGTCTGCAAACTCCCCAGTAATGAACTCAATTAAAATCTGTGGGCGGAAGTAACTCAGAGAATTAAAAGCTATGGTCATCGGCCGGTAAATAGTGATGAAATGCGACAGGCAAATATCACTGCGTGGAATGATATCCCCATCCAAACTCTAAAAAACTTGTCACAGGGTATGACATGTAGGATGAGGGCGCTGCAAGCGGCTGCTGGAGGTCATACCCGCTATTGATGACTTTTCATGATTAACGGTAATAATTTCTTTGACTGTGTAACATATCACTGTCCGGAGGCTATCATTTTCTTTAATATCTTAGCTTAAAGTTAATACTGACATCAAACTGTTGATATGGTTTTCTGGGGGTGCTCTTTTCTTTTGAATGACATCTTATGTCAGATTTGATATTATTGACCAAAATATCTCACAATAGAAGACTGGATATTTTTCTCACTCAATGATATACTTTTTTGATGAATCAAGCCAAAAAATTTTTAACCAGCACTCAAAAATAACAATGATAAAAATTATTCCATATTAAGTAGCAACTCTGTATTTCCCAATTTTCTTATGCCCACGCACTGCAGATATCCTTAAGATTTCAGAATAAAATCTGGCGCACTTAAGGTGTAAAAGTACCTAGGGTACTTGGATTTTTGGCTCTTGATATCGTACAAACCTGAACCCCAGGGCACTACACATGACAGTGCTGTCAAGGATATCCCAGCCAAGACTACATACTGTGCCCCAGTAACCAGCGTTATACACCTCGATCAGTCCTTCATATGTCTGGTTCCCATTCCTTAATCGGACGTCTCCTTTTCTTGGTGGAGGTGCGTTGGATCCTACAACATTCAAAAATGGGCGGGTCAAGTTCATTAGCGGCTACAAGTGTGCTGCACTATCTACTCGGCTGCAAAGAGATATATGGTGCGGCTAATTTAGTTTTTGCATTATTATTCTTATTTTGTTTTTACTTTTTCCTCTAATCATATCCAGAAAAAAGTCATAGAAAGACGTTACATTGCTATTTACGACGTACTTGAAGTGAGCAATTGGCACTAATGAGAAATTCATTATACACATGCATGCACGTGTGTTTATGGTACCGATCATGATCAGAAGCGATTATCAATCGGTTTGTCTACGGAAATTTACCATCGTAACACCAAACCCCGGCGTCCTCTCTGTGGTCACAGTTAGTGTGCGCCCACTGACCATGAGAACACTCGGACAATGACCCTTCATGCCCACTGCACTGGACATCATCTAACATTATGATCCCAGACCCCTGACCGAAATACGCTCCGACGTACGACTTTCCGTGCCTAAAATTACACGACAGAGTTTGATAAATATAATGTAGAAAAAAAAAGAAATACGAAAAATGAGAAAATATATAAAACATTGACAAAATCGAGCACCCCTTTCTGTAGTCAATTATGAAAATATAGATAAACGGGGTGTGCTTGTCAGCTGTTTTTTTTTAAATTTATTTATTTATTATCATATTTTTTTTGCATCGGTACTTCTTCCAAAAACAATCTTTTTTTATTGCCCGATACTTTCGCCAACATAGAACTTGATGGAGTCTAACCTATGGACATTATAGTTTCACATATACTCACTGGTACCCAAGCATCCTACAGACAACAGTTGCAGCGTTGTCATCCCAGCCATCGTCGCAAACCGACCCCCATGAGCCACCGTAGTACACCTCTAGACGACCGTAATATGCCCCATCGTCTGGCGCAAGTCGTACGCTGCCATATTCCGCTGCATAGAAAGAGAGGTTATTCGTGTTAGTCATACTTACAACAAATAATGATTTTTAGATTATTATTTTTTAAATTTTTATTATTATTATTTTTTTTATTTATTTATTTTTTTTTTTTTTTTGAAAATCGTTTTTGGGTTTGTACTCTTAAGGGTCTTAAAGGCAACTGTTACGTTTTTTAAGATCAAAAAGGATTTTAAAAAATTTTCGATACACCACTATTTCACCTAGCTTAAAATTCTGAAGCCACACCATTAACTAATCTATTGAGCACTTAAAGAAATATTACATCACCTCCATACCTCTATTTTGACATGGTCCCTCCGTGAGACTGACGTCATCCAAGCCTATAACACTCTTATTCTCTTCACCAAGAACTGCTTCAAACACTACAATATAAGTTCCTTGAGATGTCAAATTCACTTGGCCCAGTTTCCACAGGTCGCCTTGGTTACCATCAGCTGACATGACACGTGTCGCTTGGTGATTGGACGTTCGGTTGATATAGACGTTCAAAGACCCCATGGATTGCCCGAACATGTGGTAATAGAATTGAAGGCAGGAAGATGTAGTGATGGTAACAGGTGGTGACCGAAGATACTGAACGTCCTTCAAAATGCCCTTTGCCCCGGCTGCCATGTATCCACCTGTGATTGTAAAATTCAAGTTAAAGCGCCATCAGATCATCACAATGCTCTAACAAACATTATTTTGCACCATATAAAAAGGCGCAAGTATACATGTATGTACTGCAGTATCCTAGCTATCTTGCGCCATTTAAAGAAAAATCACTTATTTACCAGCTGACTGGGATTGGCCTTGTGTGAACAAAGTTTTATTGTTATCCAAGCAAAAAGGGACAGAAAGCAAGTAATGAAACGTATATCTCCGAAAATTTAAGCGCAATGGGATTATAATGCATGACTGTAAGGTGTCAAACCAAACCATGTGAAAAGATTGCTTTCTAATCTGCATGGGTTTAATCTACCATAAAACCAGATTTTAAACCAGAGTTCTTATCACCTTGCCCATCTGTCATTCTTAAACAAAGTCCCTCAATAAAACTACGTTGAAATGAAACTTACTCCATAAATGAACATGTAAAACAGGCCTGAAATATTTGACATACCAGTTTTGGTTCCTTTAGTGTGGTCGTGTGCAGGGCCTAATAGCCCGCTGTTTCGAGAGCTACTGGGTCCAGCCCACAGTATCCAGTCCCCACTAACATTGGTGTATCCACACAGGCGGTTGTCTTCAGTCTCAAATTCGCAATCAATGGTGGTAGCTGTAAGATATCAAAAATTAGGCAAAACATCTTCCTTAGTCACATTGGAAAACGGTTATCTGCCATAAAGAAGGTCATGACTGGTAAGCGATCGCTTTGCGTGTTTAAATCCAACTTCCATATCTTTTGTTCGCTACCAGGTTGAAATTGAAAACTTACAAAGATGACAACAAAAGTGTTACTCCCTAGGGTACTTTTTCACAGCGAGGGTACGTGTTGGATAACAACAATTCTCTTAAAGCGTTTTTTAGAATTGTTGTTATCCAACACGTACGAGTAATAAATATGAAAAATATTCGAACATCTTTACAATCTAACAGCTTCTTGGCTTACAAAATCTTTGAATAGCTTCAGATGTACAGGCGACAGAAGCATCACTGAAATGGTCACACGACTGCTCTCCCCACTGCATATTGTTGCAGAAATCAATCACCGGTTCTTCCCCGACACAGCGCACGCCCGACAGCCATATTGGTCCAGACCCGATGCCAAACCTGGCGTTTCTGGGGGATGCAATAAAATGAGAAACATATTGATAAAAAAATGGAAGCTGAGTCTTAGCTGGATAAATTATATTTATGTACCTTAACTCAACCAATGATATAGCTTTCTGCACATATGGTAAAAGAAGAGTGAAATCTATACGCACTACTTACGACAGAACTTTGATAGAAACATTGCCATCCACTTGCAATGTGTTTGAATTGCGTTCAAGAGTCGAAACCATTATTCAGTGAACACCAAGTGTATAAACAGATAAAGTGGCTTTCACCTTAAACATATGCAATATTTAAAAAGTCACTAGATAGATAGATAGATAGATAGATAGATAGATAGATATACGCGTTTACCTGTATGCCTTGCCTTCAGAATATCCCAGCTGCTTACAAACAATTTTGGCGTTCTCGTCTGACCAGTAGTGGTCACAAATAGTCCCCCATGTCCCGTTGTACATTACCTCCACTCGTCCGTAGTCACTGGACCCCCCAGCAAGACGCAACTGGACATCTAGAATTTTTTAATTGGCCAATGACTTTAACACTCTACCGATATATCTGTGGAACTGAACTAATAAACAGCCGTTGTTACAAATGCACTAAGGTACTGGTAGCAATTCTAGGAACAAATATCGGTGCATACGTGTTTCACATGTTTTTAAATAGATTTCACCGAGAAAAACAAAAAATAATAACACTACTGTTTGTGGCTGAGGCTGTCATAGATGTAATTCTGTGGTTAAATTGTATTTTTCCTGTTACAGCACATATTTTAAAATTGAGGAACGAGTTCCCATTGGCATTAGTATGTTTTAAATGCTCGAGCTCGATTCAGCTCCATTGACATTACCGGAATTGTGTAAATAAACCGAATAAAATCCAAAATTACGCGTAGCTACATTTTGACTTCTTTAGGTGGCCTACCTGATGATTGGTCATCCCCACACTGCACGGCTGAATCCTGGGAATGTGGGCAACCGCCTCGCACTATGATTGGACGACACTGCATGACGTCATTGTCTTCACCTTCGCAGTCAATATTTGTCATTTGCCATTTTGTTGTACCTTCTCCGTATGGTTTTAATGGCACTGCCTGTTGAACAACAAAAAGATAACTTGAGTTGTAAATCAGGATCGGGTTTATTATGATAGGGATTGTAGCCAATGCATTGAATTTATTATAACCATACCAAATATACAAGCAAAGCAGTAATACGTACGTAACACAGGAATAATGTATAACTGCTAGTGCATGCATGTTCCAATATGTTTAAATCATTATTCCATTTACATATATACATTGATCCAGTTTTTGATTCACTATTTGCCAACATAGCATTATTGGGCTTATTCAGGCGCTAATTATTAACCTTAAGACTCAAGGTGTACTTCGGGCTTAGAAAATGCATTAAAAAACGCAATAATATACAGGTGTACGAGATCTGGCGGGATTTAATGGCCATGACGTTGATTTCGAAGTTCCAGAACATGAATATGCTCTCACCTTTCCATATTGATATCCAATCTGTCGGCAGAGAACTCGAGCGTCCCTATAGTCGAAAGTTTCATCACACACTGTTACCCACTTGCCGAGGTGCCTCACCTCAACTCGACCATTACTGCCATCACCGCCTCTGAGACGTACCGGGTGGTCTGAAATAAGGAAAGTAACACCTTTTTAAACGAGTAAATACAAAATAACACAGGCTTATAGACGCTTTTATGTTATCAGAATTCCTGTGGGTTTTTTTCGTCTTTCATATGTAAAATCCATGACCAAACTGAATGTATGGGGTAGCTACTCGTTAATGGTAGAATCCATAATTATTTAAAGCTCAAATAAACTACGTGATCGCAGTGTACAAACACTATACTGAAAAATAATGCTCTTAGAGGTAATACATTTTTATAGGCATTACATATTTGTAGATTCATCTTAATCTCCTCTAAAAACAACAAATTGAACTGGAAGGCTGGGTTTACCACTATAAGCTCAAAACACACCACATTGTAGTTATCAACTCTACTTACCGTCTCGGCAACTACCATCTTGAATGAGTATGTCATCCACGGCGATGTCGCTCCTGTATCCGTTACCGCGCACCGCTTCTATGACAACAGAATAAGCCCCGCTCTCTAATGTTATACTCCTCGGGTACCACAGATCGCCGAAATTACCCGAGACGCTGAATAATTTCGTCTCCAGCCCCGAGCTCGTGTCTTTTCGGTAAACATTGAGGGTGCCGATGTTGATTCCATTCATATTGAAGTAAAATTTCAGACATTTTGGAGATGCAGAAGATATTGCCTGGGTGATGATTCGGGCCTTGTTTCCTTCGGCGGCATTTGTACCGCTTGCTTCGAGGTAAATATAATGCCCTAGATTATGGAAATACAATAAGGTAATGAGAAATCGACGTTTTATATCCTTAGGGATGGTTGTTATATGTGTTCTCTATAGGTGCGGTAATAATAAGACATGTTAAATGCGGTGTCTAGGTTTTGTGTTATTAATAGTGTTAACAAATTTTGTTTACGCGCAACTTGATAAAGGACTTCTTATCACTAATTTACCAACAAATAGCCTTGAAGCGAATCTAAACAGACGAAAAGTAACAACAACAATGCGCATGCCCAGAACTAACCGCTACTGCTCCCAAACGTCACGTCCGTGGAAGGGCCGGTATCGGCTGAAGGAGTGAGACCAGCTTTTACTTTCCAGATAATTTGATTCGGGGCGTCCTGTGTGAAGCTGCACCAGCGGTTAGTCGGGCTCTCGAAGTCGCACAATGTTGCACCTGGTACTGTTTTATTTAACAAAAAGCAAAAGAAAAAAAAAAACACTGATATTCTTTTTTTCAGTACTGCATGCCTTTGTGTGATTCATGCAATGTTTATACTCTGTAAATTAACATCCTACTCCCCTCCCTCTCTCCCTCCCGCCCCCCCAATGAAAATATTTCGCAGAAATTCAATTAACTGTTCCTGCACAAAACAACCAAATTACAAGTTAGATCACTTAATCACAAATCCACCACTTGCCCATGTTAAGATCTCCAAGAAACCATGCCTCCGTTTTCAAAGACACAAAACTAAATTGCAGGACATTATCTGAAAATGCAAATAATCTCTAAGGTATTAAAGATATTTCTGATGAGTTCATTGGACCAGTGTGACGTGAGAGTCCCCCATGATAGACAGTCCAGTTCCCATTAATTTGCACAGGTAAGCTTCGCCATTGAGTTCAGGCCCGAAGCTGGGGGGTGGGGGGGGGGGGGGCTCGGGGGGTTAGAAAGCACCGCTCCTTTTTGTCAGGAAAAGGTCCATTTTGGGTAAAATTTGATCTAGGTACACATAAGTTTCATTGAAAAAGAACCCCCTTTAAAATTAGCTGGCTACGGGCCTGGAGATAGACCCACCTACGACAGGCTAATCAATATAACCCTAACCTTTATAATTAAAAGTCGGTTGGACTCCCTGTTACGCGGACCCACACTTTCGTCACACCGGGAATTAAACTTGGGATATCTGACCAATACGTACTGGTGGGGGCAGTGGAAAACGAAACCACAAAAGTTTACATCCGGCTCCAGTCCGTAACAGGACAGTTCGTCTAGGACTATAGATCCGTTTCCAGGGCCGAAACTAGAAGTAGATATATAGAGAAAGAATGGTAAGGGACCTGGATATAAATGTAAAACAATTTGACTACATATGTAAAATATGATGCACCTGTATATGTATGTGTATGCTAATCTGCATGTATAAGCACTGCTGATACAAATTTGTTGGGGTTATATTCTGCATTCCAGACGTAATTGTTTACTTGATTCTTGTTCATAAAATGGCTAAAAATTAATATAAACAAATATTGGGGACGACACGGACGTCAATAGAGTCTTTTCCACGAAATCGTGAGCATGCGCAGTTCGCGCCATTTTGTGCGGGACTGTTTTTCAGGGGGAAAGAGTAGAAGGGGCCTTCGGTACTTT